TAAATTAAAAGAATTTGATTATTTAAGATAAAATAATAAAGGGTATTGATATATAAATCATTCAGAAATTGAAAATTTAAGTAATTCTATTTTAAAAAATTCTATTATAAAAGCCTTCCCTTATAAAAATATCTGATTAAAATTGATATTCCAATTTTGGTTAATATATTTTCATAGATCTGTATATCATTTATTTGGTATTATGTTGTTAATTATCATCTTAAGGTTTCGTTAAAGATTGAGAATCTGTTTAGATATGTTTTTATTTTTCTGATTCTCTAAATTATTAGATTAAATTATCAATTGATTCTTTGTTTAATTTGGTATTTTAAAGTTTATGACCATTATCAATAGATTTTTATATTAATTCAATATATCTATTGACATTTGCTTATTTTAATGGTGTTGGAATTATGAAATTATCTTGAATTGATTATTACTTTATTTTTTAGTAACCTCTTAATTATTCATAAACACCTTCACAAATATAGACTTCAACTTTCATTTTCTTTTTATCATTTTACTTTTTCAATTCTTCTTCAGGAGATTACAAAGATTCCTATACATTAAATAAATCATCTTTATCCATAAATATATTTTTATATTAAAGAATTAGAATTAATTATGTATTATTTTCTATAAATTTATAGGACTTAATAATTACTTAAGAATATTCTATGTGTCATTCATTATTGTTAAAGTTTAAAAATAGAAAATTATAGATTGAATTCACAAGGTGATTGTAAATATAAATCAATGAATAAACTAGAAATGATAATACAATACTATTAGAAGACATTTAATTAAGTAATTAAAAAAAAATAAGAAAAAAACAAATATGTATAATTCATTATCCTATAGTGAAATAAATAAGTATAATAATAAAACTTTTTTTTGGGTTTACTCATTATTTCAAATTTCAATAGTTCTTTGTATATTCAATCACTTACAATAATTTAACTATATTGATAATCTCATATGATTATAAGATATGCATACATCTTATTATTCAAATACTAAAAGAATACTAATTATAATGTACTTAAATCAATGTAATTATTTAAGCTTTAAAAAAGTAACATATCAAATCACCTTTTATAATAATGTAAATTTTCAATAGTTAAATCTTATGAATTAATTCAAAGATAAACCTAATGATTAAGGATGATTTTTTGAAACATATATATAATTTAAGTTCAATAGACTTTTAATATTTTGAGTAATTATCGAATAAAGAAAACCCCTTTAAATACTATTTTTAATTGAAATTAGAAATCTAATATATATTTTACAAAAAATGTCTAATGACTTAGGAATATAGAAAAAAAAACATAAATATATTGATTCTGAAGAGGAAGAGCAATAGCAATAATAACCTGTATAATAACTATAAGAATAATCTCCGATTGCATAAACAATTACAGTTGATCATAAGAAATGGAAATTTTTATTTGAACCTGATTCATCTGAATAATAAGAAGGTATTAATTTGAAATGTATAATTCAATGAAGAAAAGAAAGTTAAGAAAATTTCCAATCCATAAATCACAAAATAAAAATAGCCTGAACAAAGAATTAAGTAAATTAAATCAAATCCTGACACAGATGATTTGAGATATGAAATTTTATGTAGATGGTGGTATTGTTTTGATTAATGGCCACCTTCTGATTTTGATTATGAAGAAGCATTGAATAAATATAAATTAAGGAAAGTTGATTTGGCTGTATTTAAAAGGGAATCCGAAATCAATAATCAAGGTTTCAGAAAAGTTTATGAAGTTAATGGATATAAAGGTGTATTTAGAACATCTGCTGTATATAAAAAATATATATTTATAGGGTGATACTCTGGATATAAGACCAAAAGAAGGTTGTCCATCTTATGAATAAATTTCAAAGATTAGTTCAAAAAACTTGCCTAAAATATTAATTAAAGGTTTGAAAGCTTAATTAGAGGATTTAATTAAGCATGAGCCTAACAATAAATAATTAATTAAAAATTTAGAACACTAATTAGCACAAATTTAAAATTAATATCGAAAATCCATGGATTGATAATTGTGATTTAGATTTTATGTAGAAATAATAATATGATAAATTCACATAAGTATTTATCATATTATTCGTATATATCAATAAGTGATAAATTAATATAATATATAAGTGTTAGAAATTTAAGTAATCTATAAGTTTTACTACATATTTTAAATACAATTACATTCCTGATATTAAATCATCTAATCTTATGGTCTTTATCATCCTTATAATCACTAAAAGTTAAATAATTTTTATATTTACTATTACCAAATATTATGTTTATAGTTTAATGTTTAAGGTTTCTTTATAAATTTATTTATTACAAAAGTTGATTTTAAGTAAAGCTATAAATTGAAACTTTAAAGCTCTTTCAAAACAATAGTTTCATTTTTTATATTTTACTTATTGATTTTATAAATTAATTTGAAATTTTCATATGTGATATTTCAATATGATTTATTATTTAATTTGTTGGTAAACAATTAAAATGTATGTTTGATTTATACAAGAAATAATTTATTATTGAATTAATTCGTTTTTACTTTTTTTTAATAATCTTATTTTTATAAATTAGAGAAATGAAGCGCATAGTATTGGGCTTACTGTGTATAGGCATATGCTTATCCTATAATAGAAATGTGCAAGATACATTAATTGCTGAGATGGATAATGAACATATAAATGAACATGATTAATTGATCTTTCGTAATTGGATGTTAGAATATGGCAAATCATATGATAATGAATTTACAGCAATACATAGAATGTAGATCTTTATGAGAAATAAGAAAAACATTGAAGTATACTTAGATTTGCTTATTGTTAGAAACATAATCATGTCGGAGCAAAATATAAAGCTAAATTGAATGAATTTTCAGATTAAGATTATGATGAATTATCATTGAAAATGTTCATGCATCTAGATTTTAATGATGATGATATTAAATTTTAAAATCATCATTTCTTTAGCAAAGAAGACATAAAAGAATTGCGAAATCATCCAATTCTAACTTAAATGAGAGAATAGGCAAAGAAAGGAGACTCATTAGATTGGAGTAAATAAGTAAAAATTAGTTCAATTTAGGTTACACCATCAAGACCATAAGGAACATGTGGAAGTTGTTGGGCATTCTCTTCATCTGATGTAGCAATAAGTAGACTTGCATTGAAGGGAAAGGAAGAATTAACATAATTATCCAAGACTCATTTAATAGATTGTTGTGTAGGAGATAAGAACAAGGGATGTAATGGAGGATCACCTATTGGTGCATATAAATTCATTAATGAAAATGGAGCACTTAGAGAGAATGAATATAGAGAATATGATGCTACATAATAAGATTGTACAAAACCAGCAGGAAATATTGGTAAAGGTTTGATAGTTGATGTATAGAAGGTGGATGATCCAACTTTTGAGTAAATGAATCATCTAATATATGTAGATAAATTAAAGAAGCTCTTTAAGATGGTCCAGTAACAGCCTTAATGTATGCAGATAAATCATGGTTTGAATATGGAGGTGGTATTATTGATACTTGCAGCTATGTTGGAGCTAAAGAGCTTAGTCATGCTGTTGTGATAGTTGGTTATGGAAAAGATCATTATAAAGTAAAAAATTCTTGGGGACCAGGATGGGGTGAAAATGGATTTTTTTAAGTTTAGAGAAATGGAGCACCTGAATGTTTGGATAAAATTAAGAAGATATCATATCCAATTATTTAATGATCCAATTATTATTATACACATTTAATTTCATTATTCTATAATTGTCTAAACTGCCTTATATACTATTTCTTATATTTCTTTTGATGGTATTGGATCATTCTATTTACCAAGTAATTTTGAACTTAATTCATTTTTTAATTATTCATTTTATGGTGAAACTACTTTAGATTCATATTCTTATCGATCACAATTATAATATTATAAAATTAATTATTGTAAATTTAAAGTTCTGTTGTCTAACCATAAAAATTAATTTAAATTAGATCTGAAATATTTGCGTTAATATGCAGCATATTATCTTGATTTTATATAGAATTATTAAATGAATTTTAAAACATATTCTCTCTTTTATTTTTCTGCTCTTCTATTGGATATATATCTTCCTTCAAAAATATTTTAAAATTATTTTAATAAATTCACAAATTCATCATATCCTAAAGGTGTAGTAACACGAAATTCTGTTTATTCTAACATTTAATAAAATTAATAAAATTCTTCTATTACTCCTTATCGAATCATTTCATCACACCTGATACTAAAACAACGAAGATTTACCTTGCATAAATCTTTTTCGAAATATTTTCTTAAGGTTCTGTAAAAAAGAATCCTCTAATATCCATTTCATCACATAATCTAGGATCTTCTTAATTGAATGGAGATATAATAGATTATCCTTTTGTTAATAAAGCAAATCTCAAAGCTTTTTAAATTCGATATCTATCTTATGTATTAATTGAATCATCATAATTTTAGAAATATTATTTCAATAGAGCTTGTGGATCTCCACAATTTTCCAATAATTTTTATGCTTCTAAATCTGCAGCTTTTATTTAATCTTCTTCAAATTATTCTTTCCTTGAATTTATTAAATAATTCAAAAAGAAACAACATCCTCCTTCTAATATAGGATTATCTTTTTATTTTAAAATCTCCATGACATCCTTTTTAAAATGATAACTTGAGATACTCTATTTCAATCCATCATATTTTCCTATTAATTCATAATTATTTAATTTTTTAGGCCAATTACTAGATATTGGCCAATTCTTATAAATCTATAATTAATATAATACTACATACTTATAATGAATCAACTGGTATAACTTTTGTTTTTAATTATTCACTAAGTATTTAAACCATTTGTGATTTACCTGATCCTGTAAGTCCTGAAATAATAAGCAATTTTTTCATAATTAAATATTTTATAATATGTTCATATTATCAAATAAATTTATAATTCATTATTATTATTAAGGTTATTATTGTTATTCTAAATATTTGCGAATCTGTCTCTCAACTAATTCCTAATTTTTCATTAAAAATTTCATATTTTTAGGATCATCATTACGCATTTCATCATCATTTTACATAAGTTCTAAATATGAATTTTATTGTAAAAATAAATTTTCCAAAAATAAACTAGGATTCTTTTGATATTAATAATAAGCATCTCTCTTTAATTTATGACTCTTGCTTTATTCTATGTATTTTTAAATCTACTTTTCAAATCCTTTTATTTTTTAATTTAATTAAATAAATGGATGTTCTGCTCTTTATTACTTCTTTTCTGAATTATCTTCTGTCACTACCTTTTAAGCTAGAAATGGCATTAATTCAGGTTAATAACTCATTTCTTATTCAACTACAACATCAAATCCAATATAATTGCTAACTCCCAAATGATGTTTTATTATTATTGGTTCTGGATTTTCTATAAACATTTTTAGAAGCATATTAAGATTAGATAAAGGAATACGTTCCTATCCAAATAATTACTTTAATTATTCATCAGCAATTATATAATCTTTATTCTCTTTATCTGTCAAATTATTTAACTGTTCAAAATAATTAAAAATATTTACCTTAACATATTCCCAAAAGCAATATAAGATTTATGATCTTGTTCCTTCTTTAATTCCAAGCAATAGTTAAAGTGTTTTATGTAATTTATACTTTTATGGATAAGTTTAAAGACTGATTGAAATAATTACATCACAAGATGGTCCTTTTCTTTTAATGTGAAATCCACTTGTTTCTTATTATTATTATTATTGTGATTATTATTATTATTGTTGTTATTAAATATGGTTCCTGCTCCATTAAATTACATTTTAAGAAGGATAATAGGTTTTATCAAATTGGACTTCAAGTTATCTAATAAAATAGGAGAAAGGCTTTTTATCCTCTGAAAGAACTTAGCCTTTGATAAAAAGATTCCATTCATCACAAACTAATTCAGAGTAGACTATGATTCTGAGAGTCTTTTTTAGATATTATCCTGGCTGGATGAATGATTCTTATAAATCAACTCGCTTGTTTTTAATCATTTAATCTATTCGATTCTCATATCTTTAAATAGTAAAAGGATGATTACTTAACTAAATTATTCAAAATTGAAATTTATGGGCATAATTAAAGTGTTTCATCATCAAATTGAATACTTGATTTATCATAAAGTTATTTCAATTGGGTTTTAACATCTGGCTATCGGATAGGTTATTTTTATTATTATTATTATTATTATTATGATGGTTGTTGTTGAGTACTTTATTATTATTATTAAGATGCCATCTATAATAAATAATATATATATATATATATATATAATTTTAATAAATTTACTGTTCAAATAAATAAATAGAGAATATTATAATTGTATATAAAATTAAATATACTATTATACACCTAACAATTTTTTTTGCTTTATTTCAGTTTAGTAACAGTATTTTTTAAAGTTTAGTTAGTATTCAAATTGTACTATTATTTTGTTACGATAAAGAAAATTGATAATTTATGAATATAAGAATGTTGATAAAAGTAAGTAATTTTAGGGTCTAATAGATTCATTTTAAATTAATTAGTGAATAAGTTGAATTAAATAAAAATATTAAACCTCTTGATTATTTATGTGAGTCTATATATCGGCATGAATATTTCTCATAGAAATTTAAATATTCGATGGATTTCTAAGAATTACAGTGAATTGTTCGAAAATATTTAATTTAAGCAAACCTTTCCCTATATCATATAAAATCCAAATATATATATATTAACTTTATTGTGAAAATACATATTATTTTCATGTAAAAAACGGTATTTATTAATATCATTAAATATTCTATACATTATCTATAATATATCTGTCGTCATCGATTATAAAGATTTGAAATTCACTTAAAAATCATAGTTAAAGAATATGTGGATTATGTTTATGAAATAAATGTGTTAAGTTAATGAATATGAATAGTAAATAAATAATTAAGTAAATCAATACAGAGAGGGTGTACTTGGAAAGCTACACACTTGTATTTGTTTGTATTCTTGTGTATACAAATCGAATTAAGTCTCTTCTTTTTGAGAATCTTAATGTTAAGAAGATTCCTTCTTTTTATTTATATTTTTATGATATTTCAATTTCCCATTAGCTTTAGATTTGCTAATTCTTCTTGAGCTTGATGTGTTTATTTTAAGAGAATTCATTTATTAGGTCAAAGAGGAGCTTACTATTTTTTTGATTGAATGATGATTTTAAATTGGGTATTCATCATGAGAACTATATAAATTTGGTTCATTTTATGACTATTAAAGGTCTTCTTCCATAATATCAAAATAATTCATTTTTTAATTAAATATATATTTAATTTTGTTTGAGCATTTTGGTTATCTTGTAATGGGAATAAATATCTTGATTATATTATATATTTTTCTTGCTATAATAATTCAAATTTATCTTCTGACAGTATCGAAGAGTCCATTGCTATATTAATGCAAGGCTAAACCTAAACCTATTCCAGCAGAATAGCCAATGACACCTACTTTATTTTTGAAGAAGATGGATAATAATGATCCACTAAATAACCCTGCACTTGTATATGTAAAGGATTTTACTAATAATCTAATGTATTTTTAATGTATTTACCTATTCAATAGAATATCAGCATCTTAAACTTGTTATTCAGTATATTAAAGTACTTCTGCACTTTATCCAAGAGTAAATTTATTTTGTTCGGTCATTTAATAATTAAAAGAATTATTAGTTTATTTTTTATTTTCTTTGATTAGATATTTCAATATTTTTTATATGTTTTATATTATGTTCAATCATCAAAGGGTGCATAAACATCCTAAGTGTAAACCAATCTGCCTAATATCTACAACCGCAGAGTCGTCTTGATTTTCATAAAATATAAATGAATTACCTATAATAAATAGACTAAAAAATACCTTAAGCATCTTCTAATAAAGAGAATAATGACAAATCAAATTGATTTGCAATACGCAATCCTGAAATAGTAGAAGACATTCGTATAATTTGATTTATTTGATTGAGTACACTATAATATTAGATAATTCAAATACATTCTCATTTGAATTTTCTATTATTAGAAAGAGAATCTGTAAGTAGTTTTAGAAATAGGAGCTATAAAAGCTCTTGTGATAGCAAAGAAACCTCGCATCACAAATAAAATTTATAAATATTATTTGATAAATTGTAATATATTTGTTCATGATCTTCTAATTCCTCCTCTTTCTAAAGCTGATTCTGCTTATGATAATAACATTAATTCATTATCCCATCCATCATTTAATTATTTATTTTATTACTATCTAATACAATATATATTATAAAATACCTAGCAACCCATCCAGCATTCACATTATCAAGATTAGCCTAAGCAGTATCTAAATTTTATTATGCATCCTTTAAAAGTTCTTATTTAGTTGCAATTTCACCATCTTTAGTTTCAATATCTCCTTTTAATTATGGAATTATTTCATTATTTAAAAGATTTATATTTTCTTCTAAAGAAGTCAATAATCCATTATTTGTATCTTTCTCTAATTAAGCATTCATTAATAATGCTTATTTAGTAGCTACTAAATCTTCTCTTAAACTGTTAAGTAATTTTACTGCATTTCCTGCTTATTCTTAATCAGCAAACCTAAAATATTTTATTATTACACTTACCCTTATGTACTCATTTAAATTAATACTTTTGATAATGGTTCAAAGAGATGAGGAAGATGAGATACTTCACCCAATCTTCTTGAAAATGTAGCAGCTGAAACAGCTAAATCCTCTTAATTCACTTCAATAAAAGATGACTCTATAAATATGATAAAATATTGTATTACATTTGATTACTTATAATTTTGCTATAACCTAATCCATTATAGAAATTGATTAATCATATTCTGCAGTTTTCTTTGATAATGCTTAATCATTATTCTAAACTGTTCTTTGCAATTATGCTTAATTTTTTTATGAATCACTTAATTATTGATTTTTATCATATAAAGACTATTATAAACTGTTTCTGTCTTTTTTAAATGTTGTAATATCACTTTAATGTTATGCAACCTAAAATAAATATTAATCTAAATACTTCTGTACTATATTCTGTAACTTGATTTGAATAAAACTCTGAATCACTTAAGAATTATTAAAAATAAGAATCTAATTATTCAGCCTCATCTTATTTTGCTTATTATGTTGATGCAACTAAGTCATCTATAGCTGTAAATAATGGACTAAAATCAACTTCTGTAAATTATTGCAATGATATCATGTTTAATATAGTTTTTCCTAATTTACTTTTACTCAATTATCCCAGCTATTCATCAAACATACTTGCCTAGCTTTATCATATTTTTGATATCATTACTTTGTAGTTTATGTGCAATACACTATTGCGATTATACATAAAAGAGCATAAATTTTCATTAAAACGGATATTATTTATATTATATAAATATATACATTATTTTCATCATTATTAATATTATCATCTTCCAATATATTAAAAACTCCATTAGATTCTATTGTACTGTAATTAAATAACAAAATAATAGAATCTCTTATATTGTATAAATTGATCTTTTAATTCTTTTATTCAGAAAAATAAATAAAAAATTCACTTATTTGTAATAGATAATTAAACTTAATCATTCAATAATAAACTTTTATTAAATAGTATTAATTCTTTATATTATTTCATTATATAAAATTACATCATAATTATTTTAATATTTGATGATAATTGATTACAAAATTAAACATTATCACAATAACTACACACTTTTAGATTTAAAATATTTGAGTAGTAGAGTATTTTATTTAAAATTAGCTTCTATTTAAACTATATTTACTAATTATATTTAAATAAATCTTATAATTCAAAAACTATCACTTTCTACAATATTTAATTGTGATTTTGATTATGAAATAAAAATAGTTGATCATAATTACAAAGACATGAAGGTATAAATTATAATTATTATTTCTAAGAATTTATACCTTCTTCTTACAATATGAAGATTCATTTAATAATAAATTGCTCAAAATAATCAAACATCTATTAGTTTTAATTAAATTAGAATCTAATTTCTTCTTGAAATATTGAATTGCTTCAAGGTTTACTCTAAATCATGATTTTCAAACTGTTTTTGACTAATTCTCATATAAAAACTACACAAATTATTATTTACTAAACAACCAAGAAATTTATGGTGATTTTCTTGAATGAAATACATCATATAAAAAATATATTCATTTAATTATGAAGTTCATGTTTTTAAAAAATGAATTTTTTAGCAAATTTGTTGAGTAGTTAAAACAAAGTACTAATTTGAGTTGTTATATAGTTCTTTGATCATAAGTTCTAATCTTAAAATCAATAATAAATTTTCACAGAATCTTAATTACTCTAGAACTTAATTTCTTCAATTATTTTTTTAAGGAGTTTCAATTGAGGCGACAAAAGTATTCTTAATTCACTATGATAGTAATTAATATGTTGATTCTAGTCTATTATTTTTCTTCTTTAACTTTTAGTAATATTGAAATTGTCAAAGAAAGAGTCAATAGCAAAATTTGCAATTTTTTATATTTCAATAATTTAACTTTCATAACTAAAGATATCATAAGAAAATTAGTAGAGAGAATTATTATTTCTTCAAATATGGAGATTGAAATTAAGTTAAATAATACAATATCAAGATGATTAGTCTAAAACTAATGTGCTTAGTCTTCTTCTAAAGAGTGGAGACTTACACATTTGAAGTTGTGTACTCTTTATTGTTGAACAAGAAGTGGCTTCAGAGATTTCAGTGTCAGAATCCATAGATTTAAATGAGAAAATAGTTTTTTTCTTGGACAACTCAAAGTTAATTTGTTTTAACTGAGGATCTGTAAATTGATCTAATAATAACTCTTCTTCTAGATATTGAATGATTCTCTTTTCTGTATCACTAATTTCTGTAGGTGTGATCTCTTTTGCAATAGTATCATTCATTAATAATTAATCTTATCTTAATTATATTATACTCTTCAAAATTTCTAAAATCTTGTTTTAAACTAAAATAAGATAATATTATTCAAAATATTTAATTATATTTCAAGATTAACATCCAATGACAATGTATTAAAAAGATATTAATTGATAATTTTATAATATAATAAGTTTCTAATTCCTCTTATACTATTTCAACTCATAAATATCATATTCTAAAAATGTATTAAAATACTATTTATTATAATATAATACATAATTATAAGGTTTTATTTATTAATATGAAATATATCAATAGGTAATTTATAATAAGCCAATTTTTAAGATAGTTTATATTTAACATATATATTAAATTAAATAATAATAAATGAATAGAGAGTCTTCAATATTAAATATAGAATAGCCTTTTAATTAGTATAATAATCCAATCATAACAAAAGTGAATCAAAAATTACTAATAAAAAATGATAATTTTGAAGTATCAATTAAAATAAGACTTAGCAATAATTTTATTTTGATTATTTTAAACAGAAAGTAGCATTCATTACATATGATGGTTTTATTAAGATTTATGATATCATTTAAACTAAAGATGGTTAGAAACATGTATATAATTGTGAAATTAAAGCGTATAATAATTTTGATTTTGAAGTCATTAGGGAGCAATCAATTCTTTATCATGGCAAAGTCCTAAAATGGATAATATGATTGCCACATGTGGAGAAGATTAGACCATACAAATACATAAGGAAACTGGAAAGGTTTGGAGATAAATACATACAATAAAAGAGAATTAAAATCCTTAGATAGTAAAATGGATAGAAAATGAATTAATATTAGTAGTGGGTTATTATGAAGGATATTTTGAGATAAGATAAGGAGAGGATTATAAATGTGTTCATAAATTTCAAATGTTTAATTAATTGATTGATTTCGATTTATAATTAATGAAATAAGATGCTATTTTATTTTGTTGTGGAAAAAATAGTAATTCATAATTTATATTTTAAATTGAAACAATTAAATTTAATGATTAGTAAAAAATTGTGATTAAAAATAAACATTCTGCATTATTACAATCATCTATTTATAATTTGAAGATAGCTCCTTATATGAATAATAATGAAATAAAGGTAGCAGGATAGTATTAGGATAAAGCAGTTATAATAACTATAGAATATAATGAAGAATTAGATAAAAATATTGAAAAATTTGCAGACTAATTTATATAAATTGATTCTGATTGTTGGTAATTTGAATGGTCTACATTTGGAAATGAATTATAGATTTATACTCAATAAGGAGTTAAAGTTTATTAATAAAATATTGATGATTAATTTATGATTTTATGAAAGATCATATATATATATAAAGAATATAGAATTTATATTGAATGTATTTTTTTTATAAACATTATTATCAAACAACAAATGAAATTTCAGCACAAGCAAAGTTAGTTCCTTTGGCATTTTAAAACCAGAATTAGCATGATATTTTACCCTAATCAAATTTAAATAAATTTTACCGATGGAGTATAAGTTGGGAAATTTTATGTAAGGGCATAACTAACAGGGTCTCCCTTATCATATACTTCATCTTCAGGATAATTATCTTCAAATGCTTCTACTCCATTCCATTTTGCTTTTAACAATACATTTGTTAATTCTGCATGTTGATTTGCATTTCCAAAAAGTGTAATAGTTTCATCAACACCTTTGGCTGGCTATACACTGAATGTAGCACTTGTAAACACGATTTTTGGATCTGCCATACAATTAGTCACTTTAGTTGGTATAGCAGCAAAAGTAGAAACAACAATAAGAATAATAAGACAATATTTCATTCTTTTTAATAATATTATTAAATAAATCCTAATTATGAATAAGGATTTGAATTGTAAAAATACATAATCAAATAAATAATATCTTAAATAAATAATATTATTATTAGGATTTATGAATTTTTAATTATTTATATATATATATAAATTAAATTTAATAATGGGTTTGTATTTAACAAAACCTGAAACAACTAAATTAACTTAATCAGGTTAAGTATTTGATTATACATATACATCTACATCATTGCAGGGTTGGCAAATCTAATAGGATGAATTTACTATTATTAAAGAGAAATTTGATTAAGAAAATAGTTTATTCTGTATAGTGGAATAATATGGTGGAATAGAATATGGCAAATACATTTAAGATCATATAGTGGAAGCGTTAATTAATGACTAAGAATATAAATAAAAAAATTATGATAAAGCTATTGTCAGTTTATATGAGAGATTGGATAATCAATTGAAAAATCAATTTAAAGAGAGTACTAGTTATTAAGGTGTAACTCTATTATTAACATTGATTACTAATGAAAATATTTATGTAGCCAATGCAGGAGTACTTAATACTTTTTGATATCATATAGTTATCTAGATGTGTAATTAGATATGAAGGAAAGCATAAAGTAATGACAGTTGAACATTATCCTATTAATGATTTAGAGAAATAACGTATTCTTGCTGCTGGAGGTGAAGTTTGGGAAAATAGATTAAATGCTCATCTTCCATATAGTAGAGGTCTTGGAAATTTTGAATATAAATCCAATTCCAATCTAGATTAAAGCAAATAACTTCTTATTTCTGTACCAAGTATTAAGTATGTTGACAAAGAAGATACTGAGTTAATTTTAATGGGAAGTCACGGTTAAAATTATTCATGATGAATTTTTAGGTTTTTGGGAAACTTGGACTAATAATGCCATAACAGAAATGATTCTTGAAAGAATTTAATAAGGAAAAGCTTTGTCTGATATTTTAGAAACAATTTGCGATTCAATTGTTGCAAAGAATGTTGAATCAGAATATGGAAAAGATAACATTTCTAGTATTTTAATTTATTTCTAAAGAGGATAAAAAAACAAGTTATTTGATCAATGATTTAAAATAATTAATTTATTATATCTAAATGTAAAAAAAATAACAATCTCAACCTTTTTTGTTAAGCCAATAAGAAGTACCGTTTTAATGTCGAGTTGTTCGAAAACATTTTTTTAAGGATAGAGTATATTAGTTAAAATATTACAATAACCAAATCACAATGACTTATGTAAATACTATTGACATATTTTAGCATTTAAATATTGATGCTCCTAAATATATTATGAAAATAGATGAATTCACTACTTTTGAATGGTTAATCAAACAATAAAGGTTGTTTGGTTTCAAATTTCCTTATCAAGGGAAATTAAAGGAGTTTCATGCTGACCAGACTGACCTAATCTCACTTAGATAGAGATTGAGTTACAAAATGGTTTTCCTCAATCTAAGTTAAAACTATAAATATCTTACAACTTTAGAATCAGGATCGTTTGGTTAGGTATGAAATTATCATATATTATTTATAGGTTACATCCAATTAATATTACTTTAATAATAATAAAGTGGCTATTAAACATATATTACTTAATGGAAAGAAAGACTAATAAAAACAAATAGAGAATGAAATTTAGATCCTAAGATCAATTAAACATCCACGATTACTTGAGATCTATGAAGTATTTAAAAATGAACTTTATTATTAAATTGTGACTGAATTTATAGAAGGTGATAATTTAAAACAGCTAATGTTAAATAAATTAAACCAATTTAAAAATGAAGAAATTTTAGAAATCATGCAAGTATAAATTAAATAAAATTTAAGTAATTATTTGAAGCTTTGACTTATCTTCATCGTAATTAGATACTTCATAGAGATATCAAACCAGCTAACATTATGTATCATAATAATAAGCTCAAATTGATCGATTTTGGACTTGCTTGTTATGATGGTAAATAATTATTAGAAAATCCTAATTGTGGCACAGAGGGTTATGTAGCACCTGAAGTCTTAAATGTTAATTAAACTAAATTAAATTATGATTTTAAAGTCGATGTATATAGTGCTGGTTGTGTATTATACATGCTATTAACTGGCACTAAATTACAAATATCAAATTAGTCAAGTATGAGTTTTTAAAAAAATAAAACATATCAAAATAGTGAAAATAGCTAATTGTTCGAATTAGTTAAAATAATGACAAAACCTAATCCATTTGATAGACCATCAAGTTTTTAGGTTCTAGAATTAATTAGATTAATAAAAGAGAATTGTGCTTATGATATCAGTTTATGGTATAGTAATGCATTTAATCTTTCTAATTCAAATAATTCTTATTAGACTGCATCTACTGCAAGGTATATTCATACCTCAAAGAATTAAAAAAGTGTTTGTAGCTTTAATAGTGCCAGAGGAATTGGCTAGACCCTTTCTAAATAAATTATAAAATGATTATAAAATGATTTCAAAAAAATATTTTTATATTTATTTTCTATAACAATCAATATTTTATAAAGAATAATTTATTTATTTTTTTAATAATATATATGAAATCCATATATTTATCATTTAAATCTCAATAGAATACCTTTGAATATAGGAACTCCACCGAAGGTTAACTAATAAAAAGGAATAAAAATAATTACATTATTTATATGTTTAGGATCTTTATCAATAATTTATTGAGTCTTCTTTTTAGTTAATTTGAATTCCCAAGAGCGGGATCTTTCACGAGGATCCTCTATTGGATCTTCAGCAGGTCCACAGATAGGCGTTGTCAACTTTTTATTTATTTTAATGAATTTACTTGAGATTTTGATTTCTATTTATTTAAGGGAGGGACTGCTTAGGCTTTTCCTTCTTTCTTAATGATATCACGTTATTACTTGTAATATACAAGATATTATATACTTTTTCAGCCTTTTTAAGATATAAACATTGAGATTTGAGAATGAAATTTTTCATAATCAAACTTTTGCATATTCCTTAACATTAGAAGAGATTTTTGAAGAAGTAATCTAACTGTATTCTTCTCTCTTCTATTAATTCTTCATTGTCATTGGTGGATCTCCACCAATTAGTCGGAGGAAACTTCGGCAAACTCGTTTTAAGAGTTGATAAGGATTAATGCAAAAGTTTAAGATGGGAATAACGATAATCAACTGAGAAGGAGCATCTTTGATTATTTTCGGTGAAACTATTTTTTAGAATCTGATAAAATACTTACATTAATTGATAATAGACAATATCATCATTCTTTTTGAAAGAGGGAACACAAATTGAGATAGCAAACTCATTTTCTTACATATAATTATTTATTTAATGTTTTTATATACAAAACTTTTTGTATATATTAAAAAATTTTCTATCCTAATACCCTTTTTTTAATTACATAAATAAGTAAAATAATCTAGGTTCCTAGATGTTTCTAAGTTATAGATGAGAACAGATTTATTATTGAATAATAATCAATTAAATCTTATTTTTTCGAATAATTTATGTTAACATTATATTACGTTAGAAGATTGAATATTATAAAATAATTATAATTAATTATCAAGAATTTAAAATTTCGATTATTTGTTAATATTCTAAAATTAAGTGTTTAATCTAAATTTTAAACAGAATATTTTACTTCATAAGGTGTTTGAGTCTTAAATTTCAAATTGAAATTATTGATATTGCAAACAAATTCTATTGGAAATGCTTTTATTTCTGTTATCGATTTATAATCAATCTTACCAAGCCAAGCTCTATTTTCTGGTTTTATGAAATGTAAACCATTATAATTTAATCCTTTAATTATTCATTTTAATACCTATTAATACATTATGAATAAGTTTTATTCCAAATTCCTTTTATTATGCAATTTATATTGTTTCTTTTGTACATTCTACAAAAAATAATTACATTCCAAATAAAATATTAGTCTAAAAACAAGTTACCATTAATAATGATGATAAATTTTGAATTGTATAATTCTTTTTATTTTCATCTTTCTTTTATGATTGAATCTAAAATTCCATTAATTATTTTTCTCTAAATGCTACTTCTCTTTATATCTATTCTAACCAAAGTTTCTCAGAATGTTATTTAATTATATTATTAGGAATTGCTTTTTTCAATAGATTTTTATCAATTTTTTATTAGGTTGCAATACTATAAAATGCAGTCATCAAACAAAAATCTATAAAACTCAAAGGAAAAGTTTAATTTCTTGCTAAAAATACAATTTCAAACATTAAAAATTTCAATCTAATTTCATCCTATTAATATTCTAATTCTTCCTATTTCCAAGGTAAATATAAATATTTTCTAAATATAAATTAAAATTTTGTTCCATTATTAAACATCTTTTTTAATACTTAAAGAAATCCTGTTTTACTAGTATCTAAAAATGTTGAAATCTTTTCATCATCTTCTATTACTCTTATTATACCTCCTGTATCAACAATAAAAATTTTAAAATCTACAAAATACTTTAAATTAATATGATTTGCAACTGCATTCTTTATAAACCAAGTTAATGTGTTTTTCTTAAAACCAACCTATATTGTTTAACCAGTCAATAACATCATTTCTATACAATAAGGTTAAGAGACTGCTTCAAGTCCAATTTTTACTTATTTATCATCATCACTTATTTTAGATTTAAATATTTATTATTATATTTATTAAAGATATTCTAAAGAAAAATTATTTTAATTTTTTTTTTTCCCTAATTTAGATTTGTTCTAAAATAATTCAGGTTTCTATTTCTTTTATTCAGGTAAACTATAAAATTTAGTATCAAGATTAAGTATTTCTAATACCTATCTCTAATATTCATAATTTTCTATTATCTATGGAGAATTAAGTATAATTTACAATAATTACTCAATTCTTAATTTCCTTTCATCAATTACTCTTTAACTTTTTGATGATAAACTCTTTGTTATTATTGGTATTTTTAGTTTATTATCATATTTATTAACAATTTAAAATAAACTTATAACTTAACTAAATCTAATTAGACTTGTAATAGTAATATTATCAATAGTAAAGTTTGTTTTATAAAAAGTAATATTCTTATCAAATTTTGGATCTGTTTCAGTTCCTAATATTTCTACTTTAACACAAAGATAATTTTCTTATTTTTTATCTATTTTTGATTGAAAAATCTCAATTTATTAATTTATGATTTGTTAAATTTTCATCATTAGTTCTTATTTATTTTTTTCATTCTCACATACAATAACAATAGTCTCATTTCTATTCACAAATTCAAAAGAATTCTTAATTATTAATAAATCTTTTATATCCTTAATAAAAGATTGATATGAAATTGGAATATGAAATTAATATTCTAAAGCATTTAACTTATTTATTTTTGCAAATAATAGTAAACTATTAAATGCATATATAATAATCCTTTGTTCTATTTTTTTTGTATAAATTGAACAAATATCTTCAAAAATAAAATATATATTTGGTTCAAAAATTGTCAAATTTTAGATATTTCCAAATTATTAATATAATTCAATTAATTTTGCTTATTTTAGATATACATCCATTTCATTATTGTTTTTATCATTAATCTTTTCAATAGTCTCAAGACAATATTTTACATTTTAATAATCAGGATGTGATGATATTGTATGTTTTAATAAATCCTTAAATAATAGTACATATTTAGGTAATCTTTAAACAGGTTTAATAGTATAATCATTTAATGTTAATCCTTTTAATAAAATTTATATTTTGCTATCTTTAAAACATTATTAAAATGTAGGTAATGTTTCATAATAACTAGTTGTTTTTCTAGCTTGATCATATGCTTTACAATATTCATAATAAAATATAAATCCATTCAGAAGAGGAACTATGCTTCCCATTACAATAGCATTTGGATCTTTTAAATTATTATTCTTTTATAATTCACTCAAGAACTCAGTATTAAATTATAGAATCTCATGAATATTAAACATCACCTTTATATCTTCTTCTTTATTTTAAAATTTTTCAGCCATTATATTTTTAATAGTATTTAAAATCTCTAAATCAGCTACATACTTAATTTCTGTTTATATTAACTCATTCAATACATTTAATCTATATCTATTCATTTTCTCAATAAGTTATTTCTCCTTTTCAATTCTTTCTTTTCTATCTTTTTCTTATTTTTATTTAACAAATCTTTAAATAAATATAATCTTATCCATATATTCTAAATAATAACTATCATCTTATACTAAAACCAATTAATTAGAATCATTGATTATCAATTTCTATTATAAAATTGATTAAGATCGATTTTGAATACTTATTGATTATAAATCCATAGATAATCTTTATGATTTTTTTATTTAAGTAGTTAATTCATTAGTTATAATACTTACATAAATTCTGTCTTCACTTTGCAATTCTTGATCATTTACTTATTAAATCAAATCTTATGAATATTATTATTAATCATTTCTCTCATTCTCTTCATCCCAATCTTCCTCAAGTTGTGTTGACATTTGACTTTATTTTTATAATTATCCCTCTATTTAATCTCTCACATCAGGATTGTCATTAAACATTTTATTTAACGTTTTGATTACATCACTTTCTCTTATAATTTGATCTTACTCATGCTTTTCTATTTGACTAAGTTCAAGTAATATAAATGAAATACTTTTATATTATAACCTAATCCTATTAGACTTTAGTAATTTAAGTAGATTTTAATGTTTTTTATAATTGTTCTTCCTCTTCTCTATCTTTTTATTATTTCTCTAATTATTGCACCCTCTCTTTGACATTCCTAAACTGATATTTATTATTACATTGTATGAATGATTGCAATATGAAAATTAATCAATCTAAAAATTAAATATAAACATCATTTATAATGATTCGTATCTTGAAATAGAAAGCTCATAAATCATATCATAAATACAGACTAAAATTCAAAAAGATATAGAATACATAATTTTTATATGTCATCATTACATTATTAATAAAATAAAAGTTAAATTATTTTCTATAAAACAACTTATTTTATCTAAAGGTATATGAATAGATTCTTATACTTAATTAGTTTCTCAATTTATAACTAAAATCATACAATTTTACTATTAATTCTCATTAATAACATAATTATTTTTTGAAAAATTCCAATTTCATTCTAATGTAAAACTATTTGGAAATATAATAGTATTTTAAATATCTGAAACATTATATAGATGGAATATTTATCAATAAGATCATTATTAACTTTCCCATTAATACAAACTCATTATAATTAAAACAAATATAATACATTTGTTATAATTAAAATAAATGTTAGAATAATAATAATTTATATAAATTTAATGATTTTTTCTTAATATATCTAATAAATTTAATGTTTCAACCTAAATTGACTCATAAAATGTATTTAGATTATAATTAATAAAATTATTAGAAAATCTCAAGATTTTATTTAA